GTAGTGTAACATTTTAATAATTACATAAAACTTTTCTGATTAATAAGTTGTCTTAATATATGCACAATGCATAGAGAGTCTGTTGGATTAAGGGTACATTGTTACTTCAGCACATACAAATATGCCCCATCCATTAAAAATTGCTCTTTAAGTAGTAATTATTACAACATTTATTTAGGATTGTTATAACAAAACATAATCTTCAAAAAATTGTTCTAAAGGAATAATGACAACTGGTAATTTGTGATATTATCTGGTTCATAGTCCTAGTAGAGAGTAAAAAAGAGAAAAAAGTAAAGCTATCCCTGTACCAGGCCATGAAGGCCCATAGGGTTGTGAGACATTGAGGGTCCCACACTATCTAGACAATTGGCTCAAAGATGGCGGTAAGGTTGTCAGCCTTACGTACCAGCCGTGCTTTACTCCCCAGGAAAATTAATTAATTCCTGGTACTCATTTCTGTTAGAGGCTGAGTAAACTCCAGGGTCTAGTGCGGCTGGAAGGATTGAGTCAACTGAAAAAATCCAGTGAAATATATGACTAATGAAAACTGAATTTCTGTAAAGTATTGACTTGTATAACTATTGTGACTGTGTTCAAACTGATGAAATATGTACTATTATTGTAGTACCATAACCTGTTGTTTCTTAATGTAAAAGTATTGACTTCTGTTTTTAACTTTTCTGGTTATGTAGCCCTTAATACATGGGAGGACATTATCTGACAGTACGCATAATAAATCAATGGGAGATTTCTCAATAAAAATGTAGCTGTGCTTGGTTACCATGTTTGGATATTTAAATTTTGCTTATCAAAGAGGCATTTCATTGCAACCATGCCAATTACATACACATAGGTGGTAAAATTCATGCATTATGTTTTCATCAATATTAAGTGTTTGCAGTTTGAACAGAAGTCAGCTTATTTTATAATTCTCAAAATCAAAACCCTCTTCAAAGGTGGATTACAGCTGACATTTTACCAATGAGCTTCGAGTGCACTCAGTGTTTTGTTTATTTGAGTACAGTATTGCATTTCCATATATGTATATATGGACAAGTAAACAGGGATTATAAGAAACATAAGCACATGTTTCATGGATGATGCTGCAATATTCATAGTATTACAACTCATTTTTATAATTTCTAATGTATATTTTATAATAATTTGCTGATTTTGAAAAATATAAACATAAAAAAAATCTGTAGAAAGTGCCGTTTGTTTTCTGTACTTTTCTCATTTGACTGAATCAATTCTACTCATTCACAATCATTGTTGATAATTTCTCAGCTTTTTTGCAAATAAATTAAACATGTGCATACATCATTCATATATACTTAGTACATTACTACATATACTAATATGCAATTCATACAACATAGCAGCAATAGATCAACCACTAGTACAAGTGGCAGACCAAAGGGATTACTGGGCATGTAAAATTCTGTTCCACTGAAAATTTTTAATTCATTATTTACTATGTGCATAAACAGAATATTAATGTAAATGTAAATGTGAGTGTGAAAAGAATTTATGTTTGTGTATGCAGGAATCTGTTGTCTTAAGTTATGATACACAGTCTAAAAGTTTCCAATCCCTGCCCTGTTTCAAGTATGTGAACAGACTGGCCAAATGTAATAGGCAATAATTGGAGTTGCAGAGACACCTTGGAGGTTTCTTTTTGTTAACTGTAGCATCAAAGCTGGAGGACATGATTTCACAATTTAGAATTTTTCAGTTCTACTGAGAAATCACTTATTTTCAGTAATAACATTGCTATGAGACAATGGATTTATGAAGGGCTGTGCTTTCTTTGAGGAGAACTTGTGAAATTGTTGCAATACTATTTTAAATGTTGGAGGAAATTCTACTGCACTAAATTACTACAGGTTACACATATTAAACTTTGACACTTCTATCAGAGATACTGTGAGTAAGAAAAGTTCAGAGAGTGAAACATTAATATATATGTACTATGCACCATAATGTTGTATCATTATTCTTGGTGTTTAAATGTTTTGATTAAATATTGTTAAAAATCAGTACTAAGTTTATTTTACTACCCCTGTTGTTACCGTTTGTTAAATTTAAGGTTTTGAGCTGAGAATCTGAATTATAAGTGATAATGTCTACTGGAATATTATTTGGTTTGTGCATATTATCTGCTTCCATTGAAAATATACAGGGTTTCCAGAGGAAAGCTCTCCAGAATAAAAAACTTATATCTCAGAAACTAATTATCATACACGTATCCAGTTTATATCAGAAAGGGAAACTCTGAAAGTTCTTGTTCATGTTTGGCTTATGCACATGCACCAGCTCAGTAATGACATCGACACCGCTGGAACAGGTTAAATGCGTGCTGTGGCTAACAGATTCTCAATTTCTTATGGATGTCCAGTGTCATTTTAGAATGGAATTTGGACATCAACCTGCTATATGGAAACGCATTCAGTTCTGGGACAACAAACTGAGGACTACAGGTAGTCTGTTGTGTGTAAAACCTCCTGGAAAGCGATGGGCCTCTGTAGAAAATGTTAGTTGCATTACACCAAGAGGCATTCACAGCAGTGGTTATGGATATCTTTGGGGATATGACACCATGTAGTCATCTAATATTTTGAAGGAACATATTGCCACCATCTTCAGGGTCGAAGAATAAGCCAAGCAGATATTGATAGCCTTTCAACAGACTATACAGCAGTATATTACAGAATACAGATCTCTGTATCTCTCAGACATTGGTTCATTCCAAAAACATTTTCCCTTTGCCATGCCTGACTCCACAACTGTTCTATCATTTCAACTGCTTTTGCAAAATGCTGCTTTCTTCACAAAAGGTAAAGTCCTGTGCTCAATTACGCACTATGCCACAAAGGCGTATGTGGGGAGTGGCTGCTAGTTGGGAGTGGTCAGCTTCACGCCCTGGTCTCTTTACACCTGGGAAAGAGCCTCCACCCTCCATACCCATTGTATAAGAGGCTGGGTGAGCCCTCTAAGATTAAAGATGTTACTCAATGATCTGTTTACAGTATTATATTTAAGCATCCTGTTGCACTCTATACGATGTATGATATGAACTCCGTCTTAAGTGCAACAATTTTATTATAGGTCTTTCGTCTTGCTTTTATCTACACTACATGTTTCGGCCGCAAATGGCCATCATCAGGTATATATACCCCCGTAGCTGTTACACTGCACTTACAAGGGAATGGTCCGATCCGACATGTCGAAACCTGCCATGATTTTTTTTTTCACTGCAAGAGTACACACAACAGAATCCACTGTCAAAATTTTAGCTGCTAATACGCACTGCAAGTAGTTTTTAAAAATTGCCGAACTTACTCATTTTTTGTGTACGCGGAACCGCTTGTACCAGAGGTTTGTACAACCCCAGCCTAGGCTGTGAGTCAGACGTCTTGCGTGTTGCGTACTGCGCTGCTCTGCTAGGGGTGGACATTTCACCAATGGTCTGACAGGCTATAATATTGACCATGTTCAGCAATTTTTAAAAAATACTTGCAGTGCTGATTAGCAGCTAAAATTTTGACAGTGGATTTTGTTGAGTTTACTCTTGCAGTGAAAAAAAAAATCAGGGCAGGTTTCGACATGTTGGATCGGACCATTCCCTTGTTAGTTTAAAATTTAAAAACACGGTCTCCTCAATTGTTCCCTTCGTCGTTGCTAATAGAATCTACTTCGCTGATATCTGTCTGATTTGTACATTATCTTTGTTACCTACACACACGTCAATTTTGACTTTTCTGAACTGGCACTTTTAAAACTTCAGTTCCAATTTTTAAAATGCCTTTAAAATTTATTCTAAATTTTAAATTTTAAAATTCTCAGGGTTACTCGCCCTATGTCATAGTGCTGCAGCGGCTACTTCTTGTTTTCAGCACTGTACAGGTGTACTGTGTAGGCTCCCTGTGTGCGTGCCGCTGCTTATCTTTACTACGTCTGGTTACTATCATTCACCATAAATTAAACAATTTTTTTTGTCATAAAAAGACAACAGAAGAATGAGTTATGGCTAGAATTCTCCATATATTTCACAGCGAACAAAGACTGCATCAAAGCATACCCATAACGCTGGCAAGCAGTAAACACTGGCGGTGCACGGATTCCACCATTATTTACGCATGCCGCAAACGGCAATGGAGGGGCATGCTGTGTAATAATGCTTGTCCAATATGTAACGCGACAACATGTAAGGAAAGTGAAGAAGTCGCGGACATACTATTCAAATCACAGAATGTTTACACTTCCTATCTTTCCTTTGCATATTTCTGTGTGTTTGTTTATAATTTTGAATGTTGTATTAGCGGGTTGCGGTGTGGAAAGATGTAGGGTACATGAAGGCATTGCCCGACATCTGAAACGGAGCAAAAACGCAAAGAAATCACAAAACGTGGCTTCGATAATCCTTCCATCAATGAGGTCAAGCGCTATGAGTAAATTTAAGGGCACAAACTGTTTATGGGGGCCAAACGTCGTCGTCGGGTGGTTAGCATTTCTGCTTCAAATTCCTACTCGGTCCCGGATTCAAATTTCGGCCTGCAAACCAGGTTTTCCTCAGCTCCTTTGGGGCAAATCCTAAATAATACTCCAAATTAACCCATGACAGCAACTTTCCACATCTTTTCAAACTCGGTCATAATATATATATATATAACTCGCTGTCGGGAGGGAGATGCAATTAACATTTAGTTTCTTGCCACTTCTGTCGAAGGGACTGAAGTAAACAACATACCTATGCTTCCACGAACCTTCGTATTTCTGAGTACTGCAGTAGAGTCTGGCTCGAGAAATTTATATTTGCATCTGCATTACTTTTTATTGTAATGGTACGAGCGTTAAACTGTTTTTTAGGTCAGTACCAGTGTAACTCGATGGCATTCATGTATTATTCAACACAGTCATGACAGTCACATTAGGGTATGTGAGTCACAGAAAAACAGTCTTGTTCTTCCCTGGTCATGCGTCTAATTATGTGAAACTGCCAAGGACAAGAAGGTGTTTTTTTAAACTTCATTCCCAATTGTGTTGACGTTCCCATTCCCACACATTCTCACTTCTTTCAGCCTTGCTTGGTGACATGAACGGAAATCTAGGGGAATCGTAACGTACGTTGTTGGTGACAGTGAACGGTCTAAACAATTCGTAAAGGGAACCGACATGTGTTTCGTGTGGTGAGGTTTTGGGCGTTGACGCGAAAGGTAAACAATACGGAATCAAATGTGTGGGAGTTATTTATGTATTTAACTTTTGACGACTTAGCCCTTAGTTAAGAGTACTTTATTTGAACAATAGCGTGTTTCGTAACGTGAAATAAAGAACAGCACCATCTTTGTTTATGATCCATTTGCAATACGAATTTACAGTGAAAATTTATACTCAGTAACAAGTATACCACATTTTCAAATAAAATTTTACGCAGTTAAGTGCAACAAGTTACTACGCATGCACTTAATTACCAGTGTCATCAACTCAGTAGCACTTCCCTTTGTTTTATCACCAGTTTTCTGGGTTATCGGAACTCCTAATTGTAACTTTAACTAACAGTGCAGGATGTTGCCTGAAAGTGCTAGTAAAGTGTACGTCTTCAAGACGGCTGATGAACAAAGAAATCCCGAAGGAATTTTGTTAGGATCGGAAGTTTAAAGTTTTATTATGGGTTTTTTTACTATAAAATGTTATGTTACCTAGAGTTATTCTTTTACATTGAAGATGGTGAGAGGAAATAAATTACATATGCGCGAAATTTACGTTTTGTTAATATTTGTCTTGCCTATAGTAAAAACCAACATCAAGTGAGGGTAGTCAAGATGAAGAAACGCAGCCTGGCCGGCAACTTTGCAGTTGGCACGTTTGTCTTGACGCTTGTATGCATATTTGTGGCATTCTGTGCACCTGCATGGCTTGTGAGTGACCCTCGCATCACAGGAGCCAACCTTGATCGTCTTGGCTTATGGTCGCATTGTTTTCGCTCCCTACCAGATCCTCAGGACAGTTATCAGAGGAGGTTCTTTGTGGGATGTAGATGGGTCTATGATCCATTCACCACGGGTTATGATGAAATCAGAGGCTTCCTCTTGCCACGTAAGTTAAGATTCAAAAGTTGCACATAAGTGTGGTGGTATTTCAATATAGAAATTATGTAGATGGACTTTTCATAAGAAGAAAGCAGTCTTCTGGGATTTGGCACCGTGTATATGTGGTGTTAACCGACGTTTCGGAGGAACGTANATCCTGGTCCATACTAATGGTCCTCTTGCCTGTGTAACTACAGGTTTTATTATAATCTGAGGTAGCTACAAAACCTGTTGACAATTATCCAGAATAATTATAGTCTTCTGGGATTAAGTTAAAAGCATACTGTGCCAGAGGAACATAATGCCTCCTTGAGCATGAAGCAGGCTGTGCCACTTGGTTCTGCAGGTTTCTAGTTTAGTGTACACTCCAAGCATGAAGATGGAGACAGTAAGTTCCTCTAAGGAGGACCGTCTCAGGACTACATGGCATTACAACGCACAAGACCATATTCTTCTCAGTGACTGCCATGAAAACCTCAAAGTCAATATTTATTCAGAGTTATTACTGTTATTTATGATGCAGCACTTGAAACAGTACTGTTACACAGCGGACATAATAAATACAATTTCTGTTATCGTTTAATAGGTTTATCCAGTGAGGCACGAAAAATATTAAAGTTAAATTTTTAAGCAAAATTAGGAATTTCTCCAATAACATTTTTAAGGCCGCACTATAGCTGAAGCGGTTAGTCACTGGCTTCCCACTGTGGCAGCCCGGGTTCGAGCCCAGGTCTGGTCAAGTGGGATTTGTGGTGGACAAAGTGGCACTGGGGCAGGTTTTCTCTGAGTACTTTGGTTTCCCTTGCCAATCTTCATTCCACCAAATTCCCCATCATCATAATCACCCGGGGAAGGTACAATAGGCCAATCAGTGGCTGCTGTGCTGAGTTGACACAGCTGGACTCCATGAAAAATAACATTTTTATCTGCCCTTCACCCAAAGAAGTCATGTCTGTGAGTGCAATACAGACAGTGTCAGGGCAGTCTCCCTTGATGACAGGTCAAATTACTGTCTAGTTAAAAGTGCATGGGGTGTGATAATATCAGTTGTGTGTGGTCCAGTTTTGAATGACAAACCCATACGAGATATGCACACAAGACTGAAGTATGTTAAGTTTCAGCAGGTAAAAGAATAATGTACTGTATCAATATTACTCTGTCACTAATTATCTCAATTTCTTTTACAGCGTTCATGATAGCGACACAGTTTTTCTTCACACTGTGCTTCATCTGTGTCCTGATCTCACTGATCCTTGTCCTGATTTTCTTCCTCTGTTGTGGACCAGAACAGAAACATTTTGTGCTTATCTGCACGATCATCAGTGGCTTGCTTCTGACAGCTGGTGAGTGATTGTAATACTGATATATTGGGTTTCTGGACTTTATCCATCGTTTATCCATCCATACATATATCAGTGTGTTATACACCATCGTCAGAATCCTATAGTAACTAAGTGATTGTAATGTTTCATGCTAAAAGTTGACAAGACTCAGCTTTCAGATTTCTTCAAGGAAAGTCGTCAAACTCATGTAAGACTGATATAGAATGCTTCAGGCAGTGCACACATACCTCTCTTGTGTACTAGATAATTATCACACTATATGGAGCTAACCAGACGGGCGGCCGCGCCATACCTCAAGCGGTTAGTCACTGGCTTCCCACCGGTTTAATCCTGGGTCTGGTCAAGTGGGATTTGTGGTGGACAAAGTGGCACTGGGGCAGGTTTTCTCTGAGTAGTTCAGTTTCCCCTGCCAATCTTCATTCCACCAAATTCTCCATCATAATCACCTGGGGCAGGCTACACTAGGCCAATCAGTGACTGCTGTGCCAAGTGGACCCAGTTGGACCCAACCCCCCACTAAGCTAATTAAAAAAAATTAACCAGATGGGCTGTTGTAGGGGTAAAACTTTTAGACTTGGATTTTTAGGTGGTGGAATTGAGTCTTTACTGGAACACTGACTATCCTGGCCAAATTCTGTGTGGATTTTCTCTGTCTCTCCAGGGAACTGCCGGAATATACACAAGTTAGGCCACAATTAGTGTCTTCCAAATCTGTTCAGTTCATTAGTCATACTGCCACTCAGCACTATGCTCTAGGCATTGACAGCATCATGAAATAAGTCACAAAAAGTAAGAAAGCATGCAGACGTGTATAAAATTTGGTATAGAGGGGCAGGATGAATGCATATCATTGTTTCCACATGATCTAGTGCATGTGCTGTTTTTATATTTTGATGTTTTTAGATGATATTTAATTAAAGACTGTATGATACAGTGCACAAAGCTATATGTAAAACTTCCACTCAGTAGTCATACCCAGCAGTGGGCAAATTATTCATCGTGTATCGCCTTGCCCTTTAACTATATTAATATAGAGTTTCACAAAAACTAGCTCAAATATGTTGAGAAGGTGTACACATCTACTTCCATAGAGAACATATTTGTGATTTAATTAAAAATGCAAAGAATGGAGAGAATACTACAGAGTCCTTTTGCAGTGTCATTAATTTTCTGGCAGTTGATATCCACTTTTTTTTTCCCAAGGTTTGTGAAACTGATGGAGATGAGTCATTATGAATGGGCATAATGACTGTTACTACAATTTTAATGAATTAATCTGGAAGAAACTCGAATATTAAAAACCATAAACCATGGAACTGGTCATCATTCATTTCATTTTCAAACTTTATGTGAATGGAAAACGGAAGAGAGAGGAAGTGACAGGAGCTTCATAACTTGCATGCTTCTCCAAGTATAGTTAGAATGATCAAGTCAAGGAGGATGAGATGGCCAGGGCATGTAGCACGAATGGGGGAGAGGAGAAATGCATATAGGATATAGGTGGGAAAGCTGGAAGGAAGGAGACCACTGGAAAGACCAAGGTGTAGGTGGGTGATCAATATTAAAATGGATGTCAGAGAGATAGGATGGATGGATTAGATTGATCTGGCTCATGATAGGGACCGCTGGAGGGCTTGTGAACATGGCAGTGAACCTTTGGGTTCCATAAAATGCTGGGAAATTCTTGAGTTGGCTGCAGAATTGGCGGCTCCTCCAGAAGGGCTCAGCTCCATGAGTGAGTGAAAAACTGTTAAATGTTTCTTCTTTTATTACTCTCAAGATTAATGGAGTGTGTGTGAAATGTGAATTCTTAAGAAAGTTTATCACACTTATGTCTTCTATTGTTTGCAGGTCTCACTGGTGGTATTGCTGTAATAGTGTTTGCCTGTCTTGGAAACACTGATGGGTGGATGCCAGGTCATGCAAATAATTTCTTTGGCTGGGCCTTTGGGCTGGGTGTGGCAGGAGTTGCGATGGCGTTCATATCTGGAACGCTGTTCCTTGTCGAAGCAAGAATTCAACGAAAGAAGAGAGAGTATCTCAAAGAATCTCAAACAAGATTTGACATGGAGCAGGAATCAAAAGCATAGGGACATATCATATGGCAAGAGGAAATTGAATCTTATGTTATTTATGTGTGTCCACATTGGTTATGTCCGTCCAGCAGAATGAGATTTTTATGCACAAAACATGTGCAATTGAAGTGTGGTTGAATGAATACAGATTATTTGTATAAGCTTTGCGTTTATGTTTATAAAACAGTATTTTGACACAGTATTTTCCTTTCAGAGACTCTCTGTGGTCTGTCACAATATCCTGCATAAATTTTGGTTAATATCAGTAAGGTCAGTTTAATGAACAGCAAGCTGCAACAGCAAAACATGAAGATGAATTATGTATTGCACCTTTGGTGAACAGGATCTCTGTAGAGATGGGGTCACATGAAATGAAAACACTTATGAAATATGCAGCTCATCTACCAGGAATAACCATGCTGTTAAAATACCTCTAAACCCATCACTACTGCTACTACAAGCAAGGCTAACTTCACTGACAAGCGGCGGTCGGTCAGTCGGTATAGTTCGCTTGCAGACTAAAGCCACAGAGTTTTTTTGTTTGTGCTGCTAGCAAGGCTTATACATATAATGCATCACTGATAAGCAGCAGTTATTAATTTAAGTTGCACAATTTACTGAGTTTATTTAATAACTGTTGTTACATGTCTAATTAAAGTATATTTGTATCATATAAGTATGAACATATTTTTATAAGAAAGTGATTATTGATTAGTAACACATTATCTTTTAATTTTTTTAGTGTCTTTTTCTGATCTTAAATATCCTCAGTAATTGATATTTAGTGCATTTTTTAACATTTAATATTATATTGTGCCTAAGGGACCAGTGATGTATCTTCAGAATTCAAAATTCAGATTCTCAGGAAAGATATTTCCATGTTGTTGTTTGAAGCATAGCTTTTATATTGATAGCATCAGCTCAGTAATAATTTTATTTTATATTGGAATGTACAGTAATTCTCTATTAAGTCAGATTATTTTTTTCTACTGTGTATTATTTCTAAGCATTCCCTGACTGAAGGATTGCCAAGCTGCAAGATGTAAGATAATAGAAGAATTGGCTCAGGGCATACATACTGCTGTTGAGTTGAAACTTGCATATATTCCTGTACTTGAAGTTTGTTTTGTAATTGATAGCTGTTACTGTTTCATTTACATTAACATTTGTGTTCTTTGTCATTCATCTCTGATTATATCTCATAATTGATAATCATTTTATATGTATATATTTCATTTTTAAAATAAATAATTTAAATCATTATCTAAACCCACTGGAATTATGATTTCTGTGTTCTTAGTTGGAATTAATTGTGTGATACAGCACCTATCTTTAGCAGGTGAAACATTGATTAAGAATTCAGATGTCATTGAATACGAAGCATAATCACTGTTAATGTGAAAGCTTCTTTGGACCAAATCCTGTGCCAGTCCAGTCCATTTCACATCACAATACTCTGGCTTTCCAAGATCCATTTTAATCTGCTTATGTCTCCAAGGTGGTGTGACAATTCTAGAAAATCTTAAAATATCAACGATAAAGTAGACATCGTTTGCAGAGATGCCACAAACAATGGAAGGAGCATGTTTCATATTAACTGAAACGGTAGACCTGGGGCCTAATTCCGGAAATGACACTGTTAATATTCTAGCCCTTGTAACTGAAAGTTTAACAAGCGCTACAGAAAGCAAGGCCTTTCAAGTTAACTGTGTTAAGCCAGCCTTGTTTTGTAGGATGCTTTTGAAGGGGTACAGAGGATAGGTCGAAATTCATTGCGGAGTTTGGACGATTTTGACGTCGGCCACGTCTACATCCAAAGATAGCCTGGCGTATCAGTTTAATAGGGGACTTACTGGATTGGTCCAATTCTGGAAAAAGTGATGGAGAAAATTCAATCAACGCTGCTTGATTAGCAGCACAGGTGCTTCGTGCAAGACGCACACCTTTACCAAGTTCCAATGGTGCCATTGGTTTCGTATACTTTACCAAGGTTGGATAAGTCGGGCATTTTTCAAATTACGAATGTCGCCAACTGTTGGTTGTTTGCACTAGTATTTGTGTGCATGTAGCTCATGTATTTATTATGCACTATATGCTATGAGCATCGTCTTGAATTACAAAACAAACAGAATATGACATTCTGATGTGTTATATAACAGTGAAAATAAAATTCTAACTGTATGTATTGAGGCGTGGTTCCACCAACCTTTCCCCCCAGCTCGCACCACGGATCACACATTGCTGACTGCTGCCAATTGCGTGACAAACAAAATGGTGGTCATGTTGTAACCTATGTTGATGTTTTCAAACTTTTTATACGGCTGTGTGGACATATAAAAGGGAAAGAATATTAAGTGTTAATATCGACGTTGTACAATGTCTACCAACGCAAAAGATTATCCGAAGGCAACTAGTAAGAAATAGCTTATCTTTGATATCTTGACTGTAAACAAAGGTTTAACTGTATGCAATAGGTGCACAGAAGTGTTCATTCCGTTCGTCATTAAATTGTGAAACAGAAATTAAATCAGTATTGATGATCCTTTACTGTAACTGAAGGGTTTTCAATGTGATATCTATGTAATTATATCGCAATAGAAGCACATACCTAATTTTCTTATACTGTGAAAGTTATGTTTAAGGGCAAGAACACGCCCAAAACGTGAATACTGTGGAACGTCTTTAAAAGCTATTCTCCGAACGCATATAAAATTAAATGGGTGTTTGGAGGTAGACAGCTGTTTCAAATGAATCTGTAAAAATGCCGATTACGGTGTCAAGCTATACGGGCCACACCCGAAACCACACCCAGT